ACTGAGCAAAAAGGGTAAAAACAATAAGAAAGGATAGAATCTAGACACAGAGAGGTCAAAGCGGATAAGAAAAGAAAGCACACGAGCATACCAGAAACAAACTAAGTACAACTAAACTAAACCTAACTGGACCCCCATAAGCCCAGAAGGTACACTCGTGCGCAAGTTTAAATAAAACCTGGACGGACCCCCATAAGCCCGACAGGTACACAGCAAGGCTAAGTCTACTGAGAAAGAAGAAAACCGGGCTCCCAACCCAAAGTAACTAAGATAATCCATCAGACTCCACCCAGCCAGCAGTACACTCCCAGCCCAGCTAGAAAGAGTGACCCTAGGGGAAACCCAACCAAACAGTCCACTCCCAGCCCAGCTAGAAAGAGGGACCCGTGAGTGAGGTAGATATCGCGAGTCGTCCTACCATGCAGTCATGCTCCCAGCCCAGCTAGAAAGAGCGACCCGGGGACACCCAGCCAGCAGCACACTCCCAGCCCAGCTAGAAAGAGAGGCCCGGGGGCGATCGCCGATATCACCGAGTCTACCCAGCCAGCGATACGTTCCCAGCCCAGCTAGAAAGAACGACCCCGGGAGTGATGGTATCTCCAATAGGATCTTATCCAACAACGACCACCGTGGAACGCCGTCCACTCTAAGATATCACATAAAAGGCTCCAAGCCTATACTATCTCAATCCCACGCCTCGAGTGATGCATCAAACCTTCGAGAATGCGTCGGAATCGCAGAATGAGAGGGAGAAGATACAGAAGTGTAGCATGTAGCGATGACGCCTAATCTAAGGCTCAAACTATCAGACTCAAGTCTGCTATTCCAGTCTACAAGGAGCTAAGTCATCCGAACGACGTCGGCAACAAGTCAAGGCTATCCAGCCCACACGGGTCATAAGTCTAAGGCAATGCTAGCCTAACCTAGACTAAGGACATCATGCTTACGGTTAAGGATGAACAAGGCATGCAATACATAACAAACAAGCATACAATAGCATTTAACACATAAGTATGCAACTCTACTAAATCGGTTAACATGATACTATACCCGAAATGTGGCCAATCGATCATAACATAAGGTATCTAATCAAACTAAGGTAGTAAATTGGTACCCACCCCCAATTCACTCCAATCGACATGTTTTTACACAATTAAGCTCAATCTAAAAGAAAGGAAGCCGTAGCCTACCTTAAGGCCAACTGTGCGCTCTCCAATCACTTTACCGGAGCTTTCCCTTTTCGAACAGTCTCGAAACGCTGCCCCGCTATAAAAAATAGAGTCACAACGTTACTACGGTCATTTAGACACCAAAATCACAACAAACGGAGACGGATCAATTTTGGAGTCAAAACGAGAATCGTGGGACCCACACCAAACTGTCCGAAATTGACTCCGTCAAGAGACCCTAAACAGCACCCCAAAATTATGTTCCAAAATGGAACACAATTCCAGGCT